TGCCATTATATTGGGGTCTATATGAAGGTGGGGACCTGCATAGGCGATTTTTTCGCAGGCCATTACAATATTCAAATACGAAACTTAAAAAAATTAAGGTCAATAAAATCATGAGGATGTCGAATATAGGGAGGTACCTAAATATGGGGGCTATACCTTCGTACCTGGATCTGCATAGACAATATTCTTTCACAGGCTGTAGTTCCCGTTACGAAAGTCGCTAAAATCAAAATACCCAATATTGAGAGATACCGGTGTATGGCGGCTATACGGAATCCCGGACCTACATACAGGGTGAGATAAAAAAAACTGCAACAAAGTCAAACGCCACAATTTTTATATTTTTTTTAATTTTTGAATGAAAGCAAAAAATGTCGGAAACAGCATAAAATTTTAGAATAAGTTCAGATTTGTTCGAATTGGTCACCTTTGGCGCGAATTATGACCTTCAAACGGCCAATAAAACCGTCACACGCGGCCCAAATGTTGCTCTGCGGTATTTTGGCCCATTCCCGGCGAAGCGCTAGCTTGAGGTGATCGACACTTTGGTATTTTTTAGTGCCAACCTTGCTTTCCAAAATACTCCAGACACAATAGTCCAACGGATTTTATCTGGAGATTTTGGTGGCCATTGTGCGCTGGAAATAAAGAGAGGAACCTCATTTTGTAACCATTCTTGGGTGGCGCGTGCTGAGTGTGATGGTGTCGAGTCCTGTTGGAATGTCCTAGGTCTGCGGCCAAAATGTTTGCGTACCCAAGGCTTTAATACACCCTCCAGAATATTTTCACGATAATATTCGGCATTTACTCTGATGCCATGGTCGATTAATACGAGCGGAGAGCGACCATCGGCTGTTATGGCGGCTCACACCATCACCATGGCCGGCGCTTAAGTTCTGGTGGCCAACCGAAGGTGCACATTTTCAGCTGACCTCTTTGGCAAGCAAACACGATCATTTTGTTTGTTTTCAAACTGCTGGACAACGAATGTTTTCTCATCGGAGACGGAGAAAACCAAATTCGGCAGTTCACCACTTTCGGCCAAGCGAAGCTACTCTTTAGCTCTTTTGAGTCTATTTTCTTTCTGTTGCGGTGTAAGTTCTTGCATCTTTTTGGAATTTCAATGGCTTTACGCCGAGCTCATTTTTCAATATTCACCGAATGGAATATTGCGATATGTTCAGCTCACGATCCATTTTTCGGCCACTGCGACGCGGGTTTCGAGCAAGTCGCTTCTTTACTTTTCGAACCATTTCTGCTGATGTTGCTGTTTTCTTCCGACTTCCTTTACGTCGGGCTATGCTACCAGTATCAGTATCAGGGTAACGAGCGATGGTACGAGGCACAAAAGATTCATTCATATTTAAATTCTGCAGTGCTCTAACGATAGCCACTTGCGGCTTTCCAGCCAAATATAATAAGATCACTCTATCATGCCATCACGAATAACTTATTTCTGGAAAATTCTCTCAAAAATGATTTTGTACGCTTGTAAACAATATAATGAGCTGTCACTGGAATAATTTTAACAGCTGTCGGACGGAGTGACTTAGAAATGACAACAGTTTGAAATTGGTTGCAGTTTTTTCATCTCTCCCTGTATATTACACATTTCCAAAACAACCTTCATATCTCAAAACCAGATACCAACAAATCCTCAGTATTAAATTTCAGGATTACAGCTTAGTACTTTTTTAACTTATTTTCAAAACTACCTCAATATCTTAACAACAGACAAATCTATATCTCAATTCTAGATATCAAAAGAGACCTCAATATAAAATTTCAGGATTTCAGCTTTATTCTTTCACCCAATACCCAATTTAGTACTAATTATTACTTTTCGTACAAATATTGCACATATTTCCAAAACCATCACTATGTCTCAATTCCAGATATTAACAGAGACCTCAATATAACATTTCAAGATTCCAGCTCTGCCCCTTCACCCAATACTCATTTTAGTACTAATTAGTACTTCTCGTACAATTATAGTACAAATTGCCAAAACCACCTCCTTATCTCAATTCCAGATACCAACAGAGACCTAAATATTAAATTTCAGAATTTCAGCTTTATTTCTTCACCCAATACCCAATTTAGTACTAATAAGTACTTTTCGTACAATTATAGCACACATTTCTAAAACCACCTCTATATCTCAATTCCAGATACTAACAGAGACCTCAATATAAAATTTCAAGATTTTAGCTCTATCCCTTCACCCAATACCCAATTTGGTGCCATTTAGTATTTTTCGTACAAATGTAGAACGAATTTCCAAAAACCCCACCATATCTTTATCTCAGATACCAATGGAGACCTCATTATCCAAATTTCGGGATTCCAGTTTTATCCTTTCATCCAATACCAAATTTAGTACAATTTAGTAATTTTCGGACAATTATAGTTCACATTTCCAAAACCACCTTCACATCTATATCAAATTTCAGGATTTCTTTCAACCAATACCAAATCAAACCACCGCCAAATCTCAAACATAAATGCCATTAGTAATCTAAATATTAAATTTCAGAATTATATCTCTATCCCTTCTCCCATGACCAAATTTGGGACAACATAGTACTTTTCGAATACATATTCAAAACCATCTTCACATCTCAACCACAGACAACAATAGGGCTATCTATATTAAATTTCAGGATTTCAGCTCTATTTCTTCACACTATGTGTGAAACCACCTTCATATGTCCAGGCTACACATGAACAGGGACCCTAATACAAAATTTCAAACTGCAACCAAATATAGTAATACTTAGTACTCATTGTGCACTTGTAGTACACATTTCCAAAATCACCTCCTTATCACAAACCTATCACCAACGGGGATCCCAATACAAATTTTTAGAATTCCAGCTTCATCGCCTAAGCCAAACTGTTCCATTTAGTACAGTTCGTACACTTGGTACACTTTTCCAAAATCACCTTACTGTATCAAACTTGCTTTCCAACCATGATTCTCAAACCAATTTTCATTAATACCAAATGGTACCATTTTTGAAGTTAAGTACCATTTTTAAACTTTTCGTAACTTTAAAGTTCGAATTCCCAACAACACCTTTGATACCTCAATGCTGCACCTATCCACGCATTTGCATTCTTATAGAACTTTGCATGTCTAAATTCCTTGGCATCAGTTCCGTTGGTTGTGTTGGATGAAGATTGATCTTTCGACTTTTTATCACCCTCGATATTAACAGCGCTTTGCAGCTGGATCAAAGATCTTTCCAACTTGCTTGACCACACATTCCGTTTCAAGTCACTCGTGCACTCACTTCGTTGACTTGCCTTTTGACGGCGAGATTATTCATTAAGCCGCCTGAGAGAAACCGCTTTGTATGATCGCATCCATGAGGTCGAGGATTTCCTCACTGTATACGTGCTGTCCTTGGATGTCACTGGCGTACTGCTCTTATTGGGAAGCGAAATATCTTCGAGTATTACTTGATCTTGTAGCAGGCAACCACAACTGATGTCCTTTGGATGCAATCGCTGGATACAGGACGACACATGACTCCTTTTTTACCTTTCGCTAAAATTTAGAATAAGGTATAACCTTTCCCAAAATTAGCTAGTAAAAAAGCTGTAAGTTCGGCCGGGCAGGACTTTGAATACCTTCCACCATTTGGAACAAATTTGGCAATTTTCCAAAAAGAATAAAATCCGTTAAAAATTCTGTTAAAATCTTAAAGATATAAAATATAGCCGCAATGTTAGGGTCTAAACGACGACGTGGACCTGCATAGGCTACTTTTGTCAAAAGCAAAAAAAAAAAGATTCGGTGAATAATGTAACTAAAATCATCAATATAGGGATGTACTATTATATGGGGGCTATACGAAAATGTGGACCGGCATAGACAATTTTCTGTCACAGACTGCAGTTCCCATTACGAACTCTAAATACGTAATATGAAGCAATTCCGGTGAATAACGACGCTAAAATTATCAAAATACCGAATATTAGGAGGTACCGTTATATGGGGACTATACGAAGACGTGGACCTGCATAGACAATTTTCTGTCTTAGGCTGTAGTATTCATTTCAAACTTCAAATATCAAATTTAAAACAAATCCGGTGAATAATGTCGCTAAAATCATCAAAATACCGAATATTGGGAGGTACGGTTATGTGGGGGCTATACGAAGACCTGGATCTGCACAGACAATCTCTTGTCATAGGCTGTAGTATTCATTTCGAACTTCAAATGCCAAATTTGAAAGAATTTCTATGAATAATGTCGCTAAAATCATCAAAGTACCGAATATCGGGAGGTACAGTTATATGGGGGCTATACGAAGACGTGGACCTGCACAGACGCTTTTCTGTCACAGGCTGTAGTATCCACTGCGAACATCAAATACGAAATTTGAAACAATTCCGGTGAATAATGTCGTTAAAAATCATCAAAATACCGAATATCGGGAGGTACCGTTATCGACTTAGAATTTTACGCTGATCAAGAATATATATACTTTGTTGGGTCTGACATGACTATTTCGAGGAGCTACAAACGGAATAACAAAGTATGGTGGAGGGTATAAAAAGGAGCGTAGGACCAAAATCGAACTAAGTCAACCTAAAACTCCTTTGTTCCTCTACGAAGAAGCCAGCCGGTGACTTAAGCCAGTCAAAAAAGCATTTTATATATGTTCACCTTAACGTGTAATGCAGAATTTGTAAATGACAAGCAGGTTGCTCCTGGTTCAATTATTACAAGGAAGCAGCAAAACACAACTGATTTGACGCTATATTAATGCTAGTGTCAAATCCAATATGACGTCACTGCAGTGAAATGTGGAAAATATTTTCCTTAAGGTGAGAATACATTAAATGCTTTTTTTACTGACCTAAGTCATCGCCTGGCTTCTTCTTCTAGGATAAACTACGGGCCGAATTTGAACCAAGTTAACCACAAATAGGAAAAATGTTTTTTTTTTTTCTGAAAAATAAAATAATTTTATGAAGTTTTCCACATTTATTCATAGAGGACACTTACATTGATAATTGTTTACACATACAGATATAGATTCGATTTCGTTTAAACTCATATAGACCACTTTCCAATTTTTCTAATAATTTTGGTATTTTAAAATATACTTCAATAACATTGTATAATATTCCCGATATTTTCATTTAACAATCCGACATTAATTCAATAACAAAAATCCATTGACGTAGTAAACCAATACCAAGCTGTTGATGTGATTCGAACAATTGCAATCGATTTTACTCTCGCCATTGATGAAGAGGCAAAGACACTCATTCTCTTGCGGCCAATTGGAGACCGTGACCAGGTTATGCCAATTCATAAATTCCACATAGCCAAAGAGACCACAAATGACATCTGAAAATTGTTTAGGGACGAAATTTTTATAATTCCAATATTATTCAATGAGAATACCTACTTTGCTCTAAATATAAATCCCGAAAGGCATCGGGGATATTCATTTGACGTATGACATTCTGTTCACGATAGACCTGAGTACATTTCTGGCTGGCCAAAATCTCATAAGCTGTATCCGAGCCCAGGTTTGGGGCACAAATATGATGCATGAACACATATAAGAGTAGTATTCTGAAATTGAGAAGAATAAAATTTGATGCTATTAGTAATATACAGGGTGAGATGCAAAATGTGCAAACAACTTCAGACTGCTGTCATTTTTAAGCCACTCCGTCCGACAGCTGTTAAAATTATTCCAGTGACAGCTCATTATATTGTTTACAAGCGCACAAAAGCATTTTGGTGAGAATTTTCCAGAATAAAAGTTATTCGTGATGGCATTCAAGCGTGATAGTGTGATTTCTTTTTATTTGGCTGGAAAACCACAAGCGGTTATCGTTAGAGCACTCCAGCATTTAAATGTGAATAAATCTTTTGTGTCTCGTACCATCGCTCGTACCGCACCGTGATACTGGTAGCGTAGCCCGATGTCAAGGAAGTGGACGGAAGAAAACAGCAACATCAGCAGAAATGATTCGAAAAGTAAAGAAGCGACCCGCGTCGCAGTGGCCGAAAAATGGTTTGTGAGCTGAACATATCGCAATATTCCATTCGGCAAGTATTGAAAAATGAGCTCGGGGTAAAGCCATTGAAATTTCAAAAAGTGCAAGAACTTACACCGCATCCGAAAGAAAATAGACTCAAAAGAGCTAAAGAGTTGCTTCGCTTGGCCGAAAGTGGTGAACTGCCGAATTTGGTTTTCTCCGCTCCGATAAGAAAACATTCGTTGTCCAGCAGTTTGTAAACAAACAAAGTGATCGTGTTTACTTGCCCAAGAGGTCAGTTGAAAATGTGCACCTTCGGTTGGCCACCAGAACTCAATCGCCGACCAAGGTGATAGTGTGGGCCGTCATAACAGCCGATAGTCGCTCTCCGCGTGTATTAATCGACCGTGTCATCAGAATAAATGCCGAATATTATTGCGAAAATATTCTGGAGGGTGTATTAAAGCCTTGGGCACATTTTGGCCGCAGACCTTGATCATTTCAACAGGATTCAGCACCATAACACTTAGCACGCGCCACCCAAGAATGGTTATAATATGAGGTTCCTCGCTTCATTTCCAGCGCACAATGGTCACCAAAATCTCCGGATACCAATCCGTTGGACTATTGTGTCTGGAGTATTTTGGAAAGCAAGGTTGGCACTAAAAAATACCAAAGTGTCGATTACCTCAAGCCCGTCTGTCTGTTGTAATCACGAATTGAGATAGAAGGCTAAAATTTTTGCTCACATGTTTATTTTTCCAGTAGGCAGGATAAGTTCGTAAATGGACTATGTAGGTCCACGTTTTCATATAGCCCCCATATAACGATACCTCCCAATATTCGGTATTTTGATGATTTTAGCGTCATTATTCTCCGGAATTGTTTCAAATTAGGTATTTGAAGTTCGAAATAGATACTACAGCCTACGACAGAAAATTGTCTGTGCAGGTCCACGTCTTCGTATAGCCCCCATATAACGATACCTCCCAATATTCGGTATTTTGATGATTTTAGCGTCATTATTCTCCAGATGTATTTCAAATTACTTATTTAAAGTTCGTAATGGGAACTACAGCCTAAGACAGAAAATTGTCTATGCAGGTCCAGGTCTTCGTATAGACCCCATATACCAGTACCTCCCTATATTCGGTATTTTGACGAGTTTAGGTACAATACCCAACGAAATTGTTTGAGATTTCGTATTTAAGGTTTGTAATGGATGCTACAACTTATGACAGAATATTGTCTATGCTGGTCCAGGTCTTCGCACAGCTCCGATATAACGGTACCTTCCTATATACGATATTTTGATGATTTTAGCTACATTATTCACCGTTTATTTCAAGTTTCGAATTTGAATATGGTAATGACTTATGACAAACAATGCCTATGTAGGTCCACGTCGTATAGACCCCAATATAACGGCAATATTCGGTTTTTTTTTAATTTTATCAGCATTTTTTAAAGATTTTATTTTTTGAAAATTTCTAAATTCGTTCCAAATGGTGGAGGGTATTTAAAGTTACTGCTTTTAACTTTTTTTTTTTTTCAAAAGTAGATAGATTTTTACAAGTTTTCTTATATGAGTTTTAGCTTGAGTTAGTTCAATTTCGACCCGTGATTTATACTTGTGTACCCTACGCTCCTTTGTTTTATTTTGAAGAAGCCAGCCCATAACTTAAGCCTGTCAAAACGCCTTTTATGTTTTCTCACCTTTATTACAATTATTATTTTATTATCACTAGTAGTGATTGTTCTTACTATTAATTTATATTATATCTATTATTATTGTTATAATTATTAACAAAGGTTTGACAAATCGAAAATATTTTTTTCTTTTAGAGTGAGATGAACAAAGGAGTTTTAGGTTGTCTTAGTTCGATTTTGGCCCCACGTTCTTTTCCAAAAAAGCCAGCCGATGACTAAAGCCAGTTCAAAACGCATTTTATATATTCTCACCTTCCGGGGCATAAAAATTAAGCTTTAGCATGATGTGTAAACTAACGTCAAGCTACACGAGAAACCATCAAATAATACGGGGCTTTGTTTAAAAACTTACTGATGCATTCTCTTATAGCCGTAGGTGGGCAAATCTGTGACCATTATATCCAGACACTCCTGTGGCACCTGACACCTGGAATCCAATGTAGCCAAGGCAGCCAGACATTCATCGGACTGCGTTATGTTCGGATTACCCATTTCAGCCAATTGTGAATAGTTTTTACCCAACGATTTATATTCGAAATGTGTATCGATGTGACGTTCTTTAAGAACCGGTGGCTTGAGCAGGACATTCTTTTGGAATATGTTATCTAAAACTACAAAAATTATAACATTAATCGTAATATAATACAAGATATCTCTTCTTGATAAACCTTACTTGTTTTATGGACTTTATCGAAATCGGCATCATCACTTCGACGTATGACATTGTCCAGTTTCTGCAAGAGATGATAGTAGACCTGTTGTTCATATCGATTGGATTCGATGTATCGTTGACTCTCTGAAAATAAATTGAACGGAAAGTGGCTGGTACTTAAAAAAAATCCCACTGAAGAAAATTTTCGATTATTTTTCCAAAATTATAATATCTAGCTGCTATCAGACGAAAAGGATTTCACATATGTAGTGTCAAATTTTCCATATGCAAAAGTTGCACACATCGTGTGTTATATGGACGACATTTCATTTGTGAAATATATGAATAAATTACATATGTACTTTTTCGATCACAGCGAGCACTATTTTCACTAGAAAATATGTTTTAATCAAAAGTATTGTTTGTTTGTTGTGTGAAAATATATAAATTTGTATTTGCGGTAAAAAGTCGTCCATAAAGTACTACATTTTTTTAGAAAATACAATCCCAACATACCAAAAATACAATACAGCTTGAGAACAATATTATAAAAATATAATTTTTCAACAATGCTTGAGAAACACTTATGTTCCACAAACATTTCTCAAATCTGTCCCTTGTTGACAAATTAGTTTTGATTTTTTGTGAAAATTGTCAGCAAGAAATTATTTTCTTTGGCAAAAAACAAAATCACGCGAATTTAGGACCCATTTCTGGACCGAACCCTTAAGGTATGCATGAATAATAAATCCGGGAATCTTTCACATAAATTATTCCAATCCCATTTCAGATTGGAAGCATCAAAAAAGTTGAAGGAATTCAATAGATGTGTAGTCTTAGTGGAAGAGATGCAGAAGTTCAAATAAGGGAGAAGAAAGCGTCAGGGTATCAAGGCCACATGAGGCAGTGAATACTGGGATGTCCATCAAGAAAAAAATGTGAAAAATGATTAAAAATTAAAAAAAAATAATAATATTATATACTATTACAAAAATAAGCTTATTATAATATTGTTTTTGTAAGCTTATTCTACAATTTCAAGTATAAGCTTATAAATAAGGGTTCCGTTTCGATTATTCTATACTTGTTACACAAACATTTTTCAATGTTTTCTCAAGATTTTCTCAAGCTTAAGGCTTATGTTCATAAGCTTATTATAATATTATTCTCAAGCCATTTTGGTATGTTGGGATATAATCACAATGTAACTAAAGGGGAAAAACATATGCATGTGTGTAAAAGCAAGAATTATGAGTCATATATAAAATGTTAATTTTGACATACACATGGATAATAAAAGTGACAGCACATGGCAGAAGAATACAGGTAGATGCATCAACGCTTGGGAGCATTGATATGTCAAAAAAATTAAACGTTTTTCCAATATAAGTAGATTTTTATATGTTTTCTTATAATACGTCATTCGGAGGCTATTATAATTTGCGTTTTTCAACAATTTTTACAAATTTAAATAATTTTTCATTCGACATTTTCAATTCCAAAATTTGTTTGACAGTTCATTGTCCCAGCAGCTGTGTCGACGCGTCTACCTATATTCTTCTACCATGCTTTAGATACACCGTTAAGCTGCTATCAGACGATAAGGGTTTTACATACGCGTCGACACAGCTGCTGTGACAATGAACTGTCAAACCAATTTTGGAATTGAAAATGTCGAATGAAAAATTATTTAAATTTGTAAAAATTGTTGAAAAACGCAAATTATAATAGCCTCCTAATGACGTATTATAAGAAAACATATAAAAATCTACTTATATTTTAAAAAATATTTAAATTTTTTTGACATATCAATGCTTCCAAGCGTTGATGCATCTACCTGTATTCTTCTGCCATGATCTAAACACACAAGATTAAACAACTGCATCTAATAAACCCAGTCGATTAATCTTCAATAGTATAAATGCGCTATAAACGAATATTGCAGGTGTATTGCATAAACAATTTCTTTGCATTGTTACAATAATCTTCTTTTTAGTCCGTTGGGACACTTTTTGTGACTTATATCGGAAAAAACGAAAAGTTTTCATTAAAACAATTTCTTGTAAGTATAAAAATATTGTGTAGTGCCTAAAAGTATGCTATAACAAATTAAAAAGTATCAGTTGCTTTTGCCGACAGATGTATACCCTCTGCCAATTTTATTGAAATTCATTCAAATGTTGATTCTCTATGGAGTAGGTTCCGAAGAAATGGGTCAATATTGTCCATTTCTTCCGAAAGTAAGACATTAAAACTTGTTTTGAATGGAACAGAAATTCCATTCAAAGACTCCGTCACATATTTAGGGATTGAGTTTAATAAACTTTTTAAATTTAATGCTCACGCGAGAAAAGTTCGAAATAAAGCTCATAGAATCTTTAGTTCTTTTCTAAAACTCTTTGTAACAAATTTTTATTATCTAACACCAAAATTCTTTTGTACAAAACTTGCATTAGACCAATAATTAGTTATGCATTTCCAATTTGGTTCAATATATCACCGACGATAATGAGGTAACTTGAGTTGCTGGAGAGAAAAATTTTAAGGTTGTGTATAAGGAAAAATTTTAGCAGTATAAACAAAAGATATTCAAATAACTATATTTATTCCAACTCAAAATTAAAACGTTTTTCCACCTACGCTTTTGATATTTTGGATAAGTTTAATTTAAGATTGGAATTTCATGAAAATGCTCATATGATAGAGGCAGTTAACAGTCATAGAAACTTTGGGTTGTCAAACACACAGTATCTCTCTCCTTTGGGGTTTCCAAATGAGGATCAGGCAGGCATTGCCTGCTTTTATGAAAAGTCGCTCGCCGGGACTCATCGTGGGTAGCTACTGCGTACCTTTTTATTATTTTTATTATTATTGTTGTTATTGTATTGTTGTTTTTTTTTTTTTGTTCTTTTTCATTTGTTTTTTTAGATTTAAGTTTTAGTTTTAAGTTTTAAACCCTAGATTTAAGATTTTCTCTTTTATGTAAAAGTCCCGGGAGCAAGGGCGTTCATTGACACACAAGATGTTTACATTTTATTGTCTTTTTATTAAATGAAGCATGATGCTGTATAACTATTCTCGACATTAGGATAATACATTATAGTCTTAAGAATTCCTTTATATTGTTTTTAATTGTCATCTTATTGATAAAAAAATACTCAATAAAATATAACTTAACTTGTTTCAAACTTGTTGTCCATTTCTTATCGAACTTAAATAAAAATGGTATGTATATTGTGACGTGCTATGTTTGGACAATATTGGTTACTTCCTCCACTTTACACGAGATATGTGATACTTTTAAAAAAATGTTAAAATGTGCGTGTGGTACCAGATATAGTCGACCAAACTATTCCAATTTCATACTTCATCTAATACAGATAAAAATATTGGTAGGGGCAGAAATTACAAGAAAATCGAACATTTATATCAAAAAATTTTATACGAAATCATAAATTCCGAATTCATTTCAGATTTCTGGTTGAGAGAAATATTTAGTTATAGTAAATCGTACTTAACTTGATTCGCAAGTTAAGACAGTGAAAAAATATTAAAAATTGTGTCTCTTTGTGGGTGAGATACCAGAAGGGGTTCGCAGATATATACCATCTTCACACCAGACCTTGTGTTGATAGAAATATTAAGATGTGCCAAGTTTGTTTCTAGGGGGGTACCAGAAGAAATGGTCCGATCTCTAATCAAATCTTTATAACAGATCTTGTGTTGATGAAAATATTCAGATGTACCAAGTCTCAATAGAAACGGATGTTAATTTCGCGTTTTGTAAGTCTCATGGATATTGAAAATTTTGACGCTTGGTGGGGGAGGTATCAGAAGGAGTAGTCCGATATATCCTATCTTAACACCAGACCTTGGAATACTAAAAATATTGGTATGAGTGAAAATTGAAGACAATCGGGCTCGTACTTCACATTTTATAAGAGTTATAATTATTTGAAATTTTGAACCCTTTTGGGGGAGGTACTTGATGGAGTGGAACGATATTGTCCATTTTCACATCTGTCCTAGCATTGACGCAAATATTAGGATTTGCAAAGTTGGATAAAATCGGATTATCGTTTCTCTTTTTGTGCAGAAAATATTTATTTATTTTTGTTTTTGTTTATACCCTCCACCATAGTATGGAAGGTATATTAAGTTTGTCATTCCGTTTGTAAAACCTCGAAATATACATTTTAGACCCCACAAAGTATGTATATTCTTGATCAGCATAAAATTCTATTTCGATTTATCAATGTCCGTCCGTCTATCCGTCTGTGGAAATCACTCTAGCTTCCGAACGAAATGAAGTTGGTTGATAAAATTTTACTCAAATATGTATTATGTCTGCAGGACTTTTGGTATTGAAAATGGGCCATGTAGGTCCACGTCTTCGTATAGCCCCCATATAACGGTACCCCCCGATATTCAGTATTTTGATGATTTTAGCGACATTATTTACCGGAATTGTTTCGAAGTTCGCATTTGAAGTTCGTAATGGATACTACAGCCTATGACAAAAAATTGTCTGTGCAAGTCCACGTTTTACAACTCCCATGGTTCCTCCCTATAGTCATAACTTTGATGATTTTAGCTACATTATAAACAGATTTTTTTCAAGTTTCGCATTTGACAAATGTTGCTTGTGACAAATGTTGCCTATGCAGGTCCACGTCGTCGTACAGACCCTAATATAAAAATTTGTACCAAATGGTGGAGGGTATTCAAAGTTCGGCCCGGCCGAACTTACAGCTTTTTTACTTGTTTTTTGAAAATTTCGACCTTTTTGTAGGGGAGGTACCAGAAGAAGTGGACCGATATATTTTTATTGACGCCAAATTTTGGGTTAATAAAAATATTGAGATGTGTGATATTTGAAGACTCTTACATCACATTTTATAAGAGTTACAACTATTTCAAAATTTGATTCTCGAACAATAAAAAGATAAATGAGCTACCAGCTCACTACATTTTTATACCCTCCACCTTGGAAAGGAGGGTATATTAACTTTGTCATTCCGTTTGTAAAATCCTTAAATATTCGTCGTAGACCCCATAAAGTATATATATTCATAATCACCATAAAATTCTAAGTCGATTTAACGATGTCCGTCTGTATGTTGAAATCACGATACATCCCACATAGAGCGCCAAAATTTAGCAGAGCAATTGGTATTGTGTCTAGGATGGTTAGTATTCAAAATGAGATATATCGGTCCACGTTCTGGTATAGTCCCCATATAACGGTACCTCCCGATATTCGGTATTTTGATGATTTATGCCACATTTTTTCACGGATTTGTCTGAAAATTGGTATTTGTAGGTCATAACGGGTCCCTGTACGTGTGGCAAAACATTGCATGTATAGGTCCACTTTTTGGTATAGCCCCCATATAATGGTACCTCCCGATATTCGATATTTTTATTATTTTTGCCACATTTTTTAACGGATTTGTCTAAAAATTGGTATTTGTTGGTCATAATGGTTTCCAGCTCCGGTGGCGAAAAATAGCATGTATGGGTCCATGATTTGGTATAGCCCCCATATAACGGTACCTCCCGATATTCGGTATTTTGATGGTTTTTGCCACATTTCTTTAGTGATTTGTCTAAAAATTGGTATTTGTGAGTCATAATGGGTCCTAGTTCGTGTGGCAAGTCATTGTAATTATAGGTCCACGTTTTGGTACAGCCCCCATATAACGGTACCTCCCGATATTAGGCATTTTAATGGTTTTTGCCACATTTCTTCTAATGTTTCCTTACCCTAAGGTGGAGGGTATTAAAAGTTTGGAAAATATTTGAAAATATTTTCAAAATTTATGATTGGAGAAACCTGCATTGCGGCCGTGTATTTAAAATATTAACCAGTTTTGCTATGGAATTGAAATATTGAAGAATGTAGATCATAGTTTTGAAGGAAAATCCAAGAATTGCATTCATTATTAGTAATATTTAACTCATTAAAAAAATGTAGAAAAATATCAAGTTAATGAAAACTTGTTGCATATAATTTTAAATCATTATGACAAAAAGCGGGCATAGCTCCAAGGTTGTATTTACCTACCCCCTGATTGTACAATGAATTTGGTATATTCCATTAATAATGTCTTTTTTGAGCCCTGATTTTTCTAGATCTTCACTTTCCCTCTCGTTAAATGGAACAAAAATATTTCTGACGAATTTTTTAATTGGTTTTCTTGACTTACGTTTGATAAGGAATTCACTCAAAATCACTGCAAATTTCATATTAACATTTATATCATTGCTTCGCTCTACTTTTGTCAATAACCGCATAATGCTTTTAATCAAAAATCCTTTGGAAATGGTCTTTTGGGTTATTCTATTTGCACTGACACCACCACCAACAACAGCAGCACCGCCACCACCACCACCGCCCAAGGGACAATTTGCAATTGTTGCCGCAAACAAGAGATAAAATACGAATATTTGTTTTAGAAACTTCATCATGCCGCTGCAGGCTCAACAAAACGACTGTTTCGACCATCAACGAATTTCGTTACCACATCAACTATTTGTTTCATTTCCCCCGCCCCAATCCCCTGCCAGCAATTGAACTGCATTTGCGAAGCGGAGTGATTGTTTTCTGTTGTGCCCTGGCATCCTGGTCTTTCTCGCCTGTCACCGGATAATCGCATTTATTCAAATTGATGATGACAATGATGGAATTTGATTTACTCCACAAATCCTAACAAATTACATGAATTTATCATTGACTCCAAGTCATTTCAAATGCAAAACATTCGGATGAACAAATAAATGTTGAGGGTGTTTTGTTTTTGGATTTTTTTATGTTGCGGTTTGTGGTATTAAAAATAGAATTTGATTCAATATTCGTGATTGCACAATAAAAAGAAAGGCAATAGAAAAATTAGTTGGAATATATTAGTTTCGAAATTGTAAACCAGACCTAAAGCTTGTAATCAATTTATATTTATTGAGATTTTTTGGAAACTAAATATTATAAATGGCACGTGTGTTTTGGAAAAGTAGATCGGATAATCATACTAAAATCTTTAAAAACGATAGAATATTTTATATGAATGATAAATGAAGGACATTGGTATTCGTTTTTTAATTTTTATTGAAAAAAGTTATAACCCATTTTAATGCAATTTTGTATAATTTCTGCTCCACGCCTAAAGGTATGCTCATAATTTTGTAATTCTCTTAAAATTAATAGCTCTGTTCCCGAATACGCAAGAATTTACTACTTTGGTTTGGAACAGATCTACAGGGCGAAATGAAAAGAAAACAACCTATTTCAGACTACTGTCATTTCTAAGCCACTCCATCCGACAGCTGTTAAAATTATTCCAGTGAAAGCTCATTATATTGTTTACAAGGGTACACAAGCATTTTGGTGAGAATTTTCCAGAAAAAAAGTAATTCGTGATGGAATTCAAGCGTGATAGTGTGATTTCTTTATATATGGTTGGAAAACCACAAGTGGCTATCGTTAGAGCGCTTCAGCATTTAAATGTGAATAAATCTTTTGTATCTCGTACCATCCCTCGTTACCGTTATATTGGTAGCGTAGCCAGACGTCAAGGAATTGGATGGAAGAAAACAGCAACATCAGCAGAAATGGTTCGAAAATTAAAGAAGCGACTTGATCGAAACCCGCGTCGCAATGGCCGAAAAATGGCTCGTGAGCTGAACATATCGCAATATTCCATTCGGCAAATATTGAAAAATGAGCTCGGGGTAAAGCCATTGAAATTCCAAAAAGTGCAAGAACTTACACCGCAACAAAAAGAAAATAGACTCAAAAGAGCTAAAGAGTTGCTTCGTTTGGCCGAAAGTGGTGAAATGCCGAATTTGGTTTTCTTGGATGAGAAAACATTCGTTGTTCAGCAGTTTGTAAACAAACAAAATGATCGAGTTTACTTGCCAAAGAGGTCAGCTAAAAATGCCACCAGGACTCAAGCGCCGGCCATGGTGATGGTGTGGGCCGCCATAACAGCCGATGGTCGCTCTCCGCTCCTATTAATCGATCGTGACATCAGAATAATTACCGAATTTTATCGCGAAAATATTCTGAAGGGTGTATTAAAGCATTGGGCACGCAAACATTTTGACCGCAGACCTTGGATATTCTAACAGGACTCAGCACCATAGCACGCGCCACCCAAAAATGCTTACAAAATTAGATTTCTCGCTTGATTCCCAGCGTTCAATGGTCACCAAAATCTCCGAATACCAATCCGTTGGACTATTGTGTCTGGAGTATTTTGGAAAGCAAGGTTGGTACTAAAAAATACCAAAGTGTCGATCACCTTAAGCGAGCCCTTCGCCGGAAATGGACCAAAATAACGCAGAGCAACATTCGGGCAGCGTGTGACGGTTTCATTGGCCGTTTGAAGGGGATAATTCGTGCCAAAGGTAACCAATTCGCACAAATCTAAACTTAGTCTAATGCCATGTTTACGTTAGAACTTTTTGTAGGGTTAACCTACTTTGAGAGGATTTATTCGAAGTATAAGTAATGGATATGACAATTTTAATCCAAATCCAGTCGGTTAACCCATTTATATATAAACGTACTGTAAAACTTGTTGCTAGTTTCGACATTTTTTGCTTTCACTCAATAAAATGTTTAAAAAATGTAAAAGTGATGGCGTTTGACTTTGTTGAAGTTTTTTATCTCACCCTGTATATATATATTCATGATCAGCATAAAATTCTACGTCGATTTACTGATGTCCATCTGTCTGTCTGTTGAAATCACGATTCAGATTCACTATGGCAGAACAATTTGTATTGTGTCTAGGATGGCTGGTTTTTAAAGTGAGATATATAGGTCCACGTTTTGGTATACTCGCAATATAACAGTACCCCCCGGTATTCGGTATTTTAATGATTCTTGCCACATTTTTGTCACGGATTTGTCTAAAAATTAGTATTTGTAGTTCATAATGGGTTCTAGCTCCTGAGCAGAACATTGAAAAATTAGGTGAAAAATTAGAACAATTATAACGATACCCGCCTATGTTCCGCATTTTAATAATCCTAGTCACATTTGCCCACGAAAATGTTTCAAATGTGTAAGAAAATATGGTAAAGGAGGATCCTTGAAGTATAAACTTGTCCATAAAGGTTCCCGTTTTGATATGACATCCATTTATTGGCCTCACCCACATTATGATTGTATTTTTATTACCTGATTTTTTCATTATGTATGAGAGCTAGCTTTATAGATCGCATCGATATAGCTGCAGGGACAATGAACTGTCAAACCTATTTTGGAATTGAAAATTTTGAATGAACAATTATTCAAATTTGTAAAAATTATTGCATGGTTTTACCCTCTTACTATTACCACGACAGCCTCCGATTGACGTCGTATAAGAATACATATAAAAAACGACTTGCATTTGGAAAAATATTTTAAAATTTTCAACAATATACAACAACAACAAAAATTTTCGAAATATTCATGTTCCCAAGCGTTGATGCATCTACCTGTATTCTTCTACCATGTATCAGACGATAAGGGTTTTACATATGTGCTGTCACTTTTATTATCCATATGTATTCCCGTGTGAATGTCAAAATTGCTATTTTACGTATGTAATTCTTGCTATCAATCACTTGCATATGTTTTTTTCCTTTGGCTATATTGTGATTACATTGTATATTCCATGGTTGAACTAAGAAGGTAAAGTCATATAATCATATGTTTACAATTTTTTTTTTTTTTTTCAAAATAACACCTTTGACAACATCTCATTGTCAAAATTTTCATTCATAAATCCATTGTATACACACAAATTCAGAAATGGAAACTGTTTTTTATGCATTGAAAATTGACAAGATAAATTACAGAAAATGCAGAGTTGGGAAATGAGGTTACCTTATATACTTTATGGATGACTTTTTGTAATACTTTATGGATGACTTTTTATCGCAAATTTAATTTTACATATTTTCACACAACAAAAACAAACAGCACGTTTGATTAAAAAAATATTATTCTAATAACAATGGGGCTTGCTGTGATCGAAGAAGTGCATATGTACATTACTCATATATTTAACAACTGAAATGTCGTTCATGTGTCACACAATATGTGCAACATCTACAAATAGAAAATTTGCCTCTACATATGTAAAAAACGTATCGAAAAGACATTTGTAAATGATTGAACAAAATTTGTTAGACCCGTAATCTAGGGAAACCCTCATTTTATTTGGTGAAACTCAAATGGAGGAATAAAATCTCTTCTGCATGGGTTAAGTCAAACCCAAATTACATAACAATATTTTACTTGCAATCGGAGTCAAATTCTTTTTCTCGACTCTGGCTTAGGCTCCAACAGAGCGACTCATAAACCCTATATACTGATCCGATTTAGGAATTGGGGTGTAGCATTCACTATATGTTTAAAAACGCCAGAAAGTGACAAAAAACACAATAGGTTGAAGATAAATACAACTCTAAATATGACAATTTGTGTTGTCTAGACCGCAGTAGTGGGATTCCCTAACTCATTTTTTGAGTTACCGACAAAAATCGGTAACTTTGTAACCCGAAATTTTGATATAAAAAATAAGTTAAAATTGACAACACTGGTATCTGTCGGTAGGTCTTATAGCATGTTTCCATTGGAAACCGAACAACGTTGTTCGCTCTCAGAATTATGTACACGAATTAACCCGTTCATATGGCACGATTCGTAATTCATAGTAAAATAATTCCTTTTTTCAAAAATTTTGTTTGTTGATTTTAATGGGAATTTATACGAAAATACATGAAATTCTCACTAATATGAATAGAAGAAATGATTGTTTTTCTCCCAACTGTTTATTATATCATTAATTTTATAATTTTCATTCACGTTTTCAACTTTTTGTGTAAATGTTGACATTTTGAACATATTTTTGTATTTTTCTATTTTTAAATTTTGCTGGAGAGACACTTGTCAAACATTTTTTCTGCCGATACAAAGTTTTTGAAATTATTGTCTCTTTTGTTTGCAGTTTTCTGTGGAAATTTCAACTCGTGGATAAAATGCGTACCTCGAATGAGAGAGAAAACAAAATGTACTTTCGTTTGAATGTACATACGCCATTCAACATTGTAGTTCTCATTCATAATTTTCAGTCTTCCCAAAAATTTTTAAAATTTCATTAAATTTTTCTATTTTTAATTTTCAAATGTCATAATTTATTTTTTCGATAAATGCTCTCATTTGTTAGGGATGGGACATATGTTTTCGTTGTTCTGAGGAAATTTTGTGTGAAGAATAATGTAGTTTTTTCATAGTTAAGGGTCAAACAACGAATAGAGAGCGAATCAAGTGCAGTGGAAACGCCACATTAGCGACTACTTTTATTTCGTCGCTAACTTACCGACAAATTTCGTAGATTACCGAAATTATAAGCATTTTGATTTAACCGACTTTTGTCGGTAACTCAAAAAATGGGTTAGAGAATTCCACCACAGATTACTAAAAACTTTTTCGTTACCTACAGCACTCTATATCGAATAATTTAACCTAACATGCATAAAAAACGTCAAATAAACATATCCAGGTTTAAATTTGCTGTGATTTGCCTTGTCAATTTTAAATGCATAGAAAACCATTTCCCATCTCTGGTTTGTGTACATACAATGAATTATTCAATATACATTTTAATATAAAATGTATAATTTTGAAAACAAAAATGAAAAAATGGCATTTTAATATAAAATGTATAATTTTGGAAAAAAATGATATGAATACACCATAACACAAACACTCTGCATGTAAATTTGATACGATTCTCAATCATAAATTGGTCATAGCATTGATAATGCCGTTTATTTTATTTTATTAATTGTTGAGTTATTTTTTACTTGTAACGGCTTTGAATAACAGTTTTCATTTATCTTTCAATTCATAACCGAACGGTCATCAACAATTCAATGGCTACCAACTACTCACTCAATTATGGTAGAACACCACAAACAACCATATCAACATATTAACTCACAAGATGTGGCAACATTGGTCGTGACTTAACAAAGAAATAGCGCACAAATTGTTGTTGTTGTTGTTGTTATTGTGAAAGAAAGGCAATATAATAAATACAAATAACTAAAACAATTACAAAAATATTCAGTTGAATATATTTGTTATACGTGCAACTTCATTTATAAATAAAATAATATAAAATAAAATTATTTCGCAATGACATAACAAAGACGTAGCTTAACATAGTAGACGGCGTTCAGATTGTGTTTGCGTTGTTCCATCGCCGTCAACACTATTTGATTTCGTCAAATGGATATTAAACTTTTGCTCATAATTTAAATTACAGTTAAAAATTAATAATAATCAATCAATAACTACAAAAGTAATGGAATAAGCACTATTTAAATCGAGTTTAGTTCAACAATAACCTGCATAGTCATAACGTCTTTTGAAACATTACCGTTGCGGCTCGCTGCCTTCATTAGTTTGGCTGACTTTGAACTGTGGCCGTGTATTCTATTCTTTTTTTGCAAACGAAATAATAATTCTTTGTGTGTGTGCGAATTAGTATTTTTCTCATAAGGAACATCACGTCTCAGCTGGAAAAAATCCTTGTCTGTAATGAAACAGACATTCCAAATTACTGTTTGATTCTACGTTGAATGGAAATTGTGTCGAGTGAATAGCAAGAATTGAAATATTATTACTTTTATCATCTGTGGAGCTGAGTGATTGGGAAGTCATTGACGAAAGACTTCCATTCCAATAGAAAATAAAAAAGAAAAACAATAAAAAGCACCAAGTGGAAGAGGACTGTTTTTAGGGGGCTATCGTTTACAAGTGGAAATTTTTAATGAGAATTCCCTTTTCGGGCCCTCGCAACAAAGACGATTTTTATTCTAAAGAAGACAAAACCAGACACACACACTCATCCATCAACCAACCATCCATCCATCCAATTGTCTGAATTAGCGTAACATCATAACAATGTCCGAAAACAAAGAAGAAATATTAGCCAATTTTCAGGTTCGTCTATAAAACAAAACAAAAAATGAGAACAACATGAACTTATTACTAATTGGCTAATAACAATGCAATTTAATTATTACAGAGCATAACGGGCATAGATGATGTTGGGGAAGCGTTTTCCCATTTAGAGGAATGTAGCTGGGATTTGATGGTGAGTTAAAGGGGTCTTAATATGAAGTTCAAATGAGTTTTATTAAGTTTTTGAGTCCAAAATTTATATTGAAATTTGTTTCATTTTCTAGGCTGCCATTCAACGTGTTATACCTCAAGAGGATCCAGTACCACAGGCTGCAGCTGCTTCGGCCACACCACCGTTAAGACCGGAAAATAATTTATCCTCTTCAATACGCAATGCCACAAGTAGTTCAACATCAGCATTAAATGACTTCAGTTTGGCTCCGGGTCCATCAAAAAATTGCCCGCGTTGGCTTAAGAATGCCTCAGCCAATAACTTGGGTAGCTCAGCTGCAGAAAGTGCATTTGTGCCAGGTGAGTGATTTATAGTTTGCAATTATTGCATTCCTTCAACTATATTTGTATTTCTTCATGATAGTTGTATGTAATTCACCTATTCATTCGTCTAAAAAATATTAGCAGAGTAGTACAAATATTATACAACCTATCATTGAGGCAATTGGAAGACATTTTGGGTTTTAGTCACTAAAATCAGGCAGATGATGCTTTCTTAATTGTATGTGTCTGGGGCAGTAAATCTTTATTTAGGCACTTGGTTCAATGGTCCGTGAATACTCTATTCTAAAATAGCAGGGAATTTACAAAAAACAACACTGCATTTCTTTTCTTGTTGCAAATTTGTTAATTAGGTTACTAGACTTAAAGAAATTGCTGATTCACGCTTATGAGTCATAAAGAAATGATACAGTTTCATTTACAGCAAATATTTAAATTTTAGAGATATATAATTGAATTCGAATAGTTGTTACAACTTCATTGTTATATCTAAAATCTGTTTGTTGATGAAAACTCGGAAGTCCTTTTGTTTTTGATATGTTGTGATATTTTGTTCCTGGCAAATTAGATTTTTCTTCAAAGATTTCCAATGTTTTCAAATCACAAGACTTACATTGATCTTAGCTGGCTAACAAGAAGAACACTTTCGCAAGACCATTCCAAGACTGGAATGTTCTTTGACCAAGTCCGACCACAATTTTCGTCCTTCCTTATTCGCCTTTTAATCAATGCGATAATGTGAAATTCTCTCTACCAACACAGCCTAGACCAGAAACAAGCAACGTATTTACTTTACTTCTATCGTTCATGCATTTATCTATATTGTTTCTAATAGGGCTTATTTTCGTGTTTTGTCATTAATCACCTCCAGATAAGCTTTAGATATACTGAAGCTTTATTAAACATTCCATTCAAAATCATCAACATCTAATAATAAGAAACATTTATGTATTTTACAGTGGCATCAACATCCGCTGATCCCGACATAATCGATCTCACATCAGATATGGATTTGGCTGAAAATCGGGCATCCACAGCATTTTCACCATCATCGTCTTCGGCAAAGCAAATTTTATTTAATATTCATTTTGATCAACAAGTATATGGTATACTACTGCCCTCTAGTGCCACCATACGTAATTATAGTGCTCAACATTTTTGTTTGAGACAAAATAATTGTTCTGCTTATATCTTTTTTAGAACAATTGAAAAACAAGGTTCATGATGCCACCGGAGTACCAATATGTCGTCAAGCACTACGCGGCTGGCCGCCTGCTAAATTACATGATGCTCAAATACCAACAACAAAACTATCCACATTAGGTTTATCGGCAGAAAACGATTTAATATTAATTGATTTCACCGAAGAAGGATATATGGATTTTGAAAAGTAATTCATATTCAGTTTTATTAATTTCATTTATAATGTATATATTTTTCCGTAAAACAGCGATGAGGTCTCCAGTCGTTTGGAGAAAAAATTTGTACTTACAATTGTTCAACAACCAAGTGGCGTGAGACATGAATTGAGTTTTTCGGGACGGACCACGGTGCAAGAAGTTAAAACGAATGTTTATTATGTTACCGATATACCGGTGAGACATCAGGAATGGACTGGTTGGCCACATGGTTGTGACAATGACACAACACTGGCGGTAGGCGCATGATTTGTCGTTATTTTTAAAACAATTTCCTCTAAACACAAAGTTTAAATTTTATAGCAATCTGGCATACAATTGTCTCATAATTTCATTCTACACAATGCTGCTGATAAATTACGTAATAATGCGAATAATTCATCTTCCACAACAAGAAGTTCGAAGTAAGCCTACACATGTAGTTATTGTGGATGTTTTTATTGTAAAACTAGTCTTTTTAGTGCTGTTGGACTTGACACGGATAGTTCAGCTGATGAATTTGAGGATGCTTCAGATTTCAATGCCAGTGAAGAGTTCTTCACCGATCCATTGCCACTACAACCCACAACAAGACATTTAAGTGAGTGAATTCTCTTCATTGTATATTCTTAATAACAATTTATTACTCTTCTAATTTTAGTTCCCAATAATACAGATAGTGAAATAACCGGATCTCTCAAGTTCATTGAAAATTATAAGCAACGTTTTGGTGAGCCGTGTCCCATGTTCTTTCCAGGCAGTCTGGAAGATGCTCTGAAAGAGGCCTGTCACAAACCAGCCAGAGAAGTAATTTTTTATTCAAATTCAATGCTACACAAGCTCTTAACGTTTCCTGTTTCCCTAGCGCAAATTATTGGCAATTTACTTGCATCATGGTGAAAGTATTCTAACAAATGTTTTTTGTGATCGTCTTATGAAACATGAAAATATTTTACAACAATTTGCCGAACATTTTATACTTTACGGCTGGGATTTAACACATGAAAGTAATAAACATTTGTAAGTAATTGTGTGATTTCTAAACATCACATATATTTTATTAATGTTTTTGTTCTCTGTTTTTAATTAACAGATTCTTATCATCGGTTACGGCATGCATAAGCAATACAGCCTCAATTACGGTACGTAATATATCCGTAGATAAATTGCCTTCAATATTGGTAATTGGTAAAAGTCGTTTATCCGGTCGATCCTCTTGTGAAGTTTTATCTGTGATTCATGGTATGATGTGTCAAATATATATACAGACTCCACATTAATACAAATTCTTTTCATAGGCAATGTCGATTTAGACGATCTTTTATCTCGCCTCTGGGAAGCTGTTGACATGTACAATGATCATTTAAAAGTTGAAATTGCCGAAGAAGATGCTCGTGCTGCTCGCGATCAAGTTAAAGCCGAACAAGATATGGCCTACGAACAGACTCTACAAGCCGATATTGCCAAAGAAGCTGCTAGACGGCAAAAAGAGGCAGCCATTGCTGCAGAACGTCAACGTTTGGAATCGGAAAAAGCCGAAGAAGAGGCCAGACGGGAATCGATTAGAATGGTGGTATGTAAAGCAACAATTAAAAAAATGTTTGTTGTTGCAAAATGGTCAGCAACGTTTGTTTATTAGTGGAGAACGATGGTAATGTTTTCCAGGGGGTAAGGCAGGGAATACCTAGGTTTCGGGAAGAGACACCAATCCTCATAAGTTTCCTTGTTTGTTGTCTGGGATATTCTCCCCAGAAGTTATTTTAAAATTAACTTCTATGACAAAAAACGAGATCGAGATCGTATGCTTAATAGAAGAGGAACCAAAGAATTGGATAAAACTAAAATTTGTTTGGAAAATCTTCTAAATCTTACAACCGCACTTATAAGTTCATCTTTATCCACTTATTATGCTTTCGTTTTACATGAACGAAATAGCACAATCATGTAAGTTGGTTTTGTCTGTTACAACAAAAAGCCGTCGGCCGTGCCTTGTCTATTAATAGAACAGTGTTTGTTCTAGAACAGTGTATTAATAGAACAGGCTTGTTTGTTCGGGATACCACAGTATTTTGTTGTTGCAAAATGGTCGTGCTTAATCCCTTTGTTGTTGTTTTTATAAAACAACGTTTGTTTATTAGTGGAGAAGGATGGTAATGTTTACCAGGAGGTAAGGCAGGGAAACATTACCATCGTTCTCCACTAATAAACAAACTTTAATAAACACTTTTCTAAAATTAAAAAAAAAAAATAATTTATTCAAAGTTTCTAAAAGTAATGGATATAATAGATTATGGGCAATATACCCATGCTTTTCATTTAAATAATTTGGATATACACTATCCGCATTTCTATGTTTCTATACGATGATCCACAAAAACTACAAGGATAAAATATTTACCTTATTTCCTTCCATACAAAGTTATTAATATATCTCTATCATTTCATTTGTTTTTTTCCTTTCCAGGCTGAACAATCATTACCCAAAGAACCAAACGAAACAGAGACCAATATTTCCAAAATTCGTGTACGCAAACCTACCGGAGACTTTTTGGAACGTCGTTTCTACACTGAAAATACACTACAGGTAAGATATTCCCATCCTGTCCTATTAAGCAATGCAAAATAACGAATTCCTTTCTCCCTAGGATCTGTTGAATTTCGTTGCCTCAAAAGGTTTTCTCATCGATGCATACAAAGTTATTTCCAGCTGGCCAAGACGTGACCTGACGGCCATCGATAGCAATCAGACATTGCAGTCGTTAAAATTGTATCCTCAAGAGACAGTGATCCTGGAAGAACGATGATTTTAAACTCATACATATACATAACAAAAAAAAAATGCAACATACACCTATAAGATAACATACAAATAAATTATTAAGCCTCCTATAAAATACAAAAGAAAAGAATCAAATAGAAGCAGCAAAACACTTTTTACTTATTTTGTTAAGAAGATAACGCGAGACCAGAAATCACCATAGAAAATGCATGCTCATTTTATGAATTTTGTTAAAAAAAAACTTAGGCTTTATTTATTTTTTGTATATTATTACACCTTTTCCTCAATCATTGTAGCTCATTGTTTGTGTTGAATATTTAGAACAGCATTACCATAAACATTATTCTCTATATAATATTTTATTTCTAGCGTTTTTTATTAGCAAACCAATCATGACATTATTTATGGCGCTAAACCATTTCGCATATTCCCCCTACTTCCACACACACACATCATACAGTAGCTATTGTCATAAATGTCATCCATAACATCATTTGATAAAACCATGATGCGAATAAAAAAAAAAAACTACAAAATTAATAATAAAAGATTGGTAACATAAATAAATTATATTTTAAACGTCTTCACGTAGACATTTTTAAGTGGGAGGTGTCATTGATTTATGAAGAAATTATTAAACAGCACAATGTACTCGAATATTATATTATATTATATATATATTAAGCCTTATATGTTGGGAAAAGTAGAGGGTGTTAAAGTAACTACATTTCGAGGCTAATATCGAAGAATCCTAGAAAGTAAATCGAACCGATGACGTTGGCATTTTCTAGAGTCACTCTTAGCAACGCGCACTGGACAGTAAAGAAAATAGATTATAGGAAATAACGATTGCTGCAACCCCGACGGTGTCTGAAATCAGGGACAAACGTCCAGTACCTGGGTGTTATCCGAGGTGGAGAAGGAACACGAGGTAACATATCAATAGGTTTAACTTGCAATATGTATTGCCGTTCTTTGCTAACTTCTTCAGTGCTCGCCAGATATCCATTCCCAAAAAACGACTGACTCTTACAACTCTTTTTAAAGGACAGACAAATAACTGCCTTCTGATGTGACATGACTTGCCTTATCTGAGGTGAAAAATTGTTTATTTGGCTGTATTGTTGACAACGCTTAGGTTTTAATTTTTTGAGCTGTTTATAGGACAGTTTTGAAAGTTGTTCCAACTGTCCTCACAAATATATTTTTTTCCAGACGTAGATATTTCAACTTTAATTTTATATTTACTTCTTGGGAGGAGGACCCGGCTTCTCGGATATTTGACCTGAAATTTCGGATTCAAGGTTTATGATAGACTAAGCCGATACTGACAATATGGGTATACAGGCATGTCGCAGATAACGATTGGAATTGTTTCAATTCCGTATTTTAATTTCGATCGTTTTTGTTTTAACTTCTTCAGATTCCGATCGATTTGGTGAATTACGAAAATCTTAAGGTTAATATACAATTAGTGTTAAAAGTAACAATACATAAAACCCTTTTTTGACTGGCCTCACCTTTAGTCTTATGTAAAGCTAAAGTTTTTACATCTATGTTAAGCATTTTTATAACATACTTTAAGGCGCATCACACGATTTGCTATCTGAAAGGAAATGCTGTAGAGTATAGCACATATTTATAGTATAAGTGTAATATAAATACAGGGTGAGATGAAAAAACTGCAACCAACTTCAGACTGCTGTCATTTCCAATCCACTCGACCGACAGCTGTTAAACTTATTCCAGTGACAGCTCATTATATTTTTACAAGCGTACAAAAGCATTTTGGTGTGAATTTTCCAGAAAAAAAGTTATTCGTGATGGAATTTAAACGTGATAGTGTGATTTCTTTATATTTGGCTGGAAAACCACAAGTGGCTATCGTTAGATCACTCCAGCATTTAAATTTGAATAAATCGTTTGTGTCTCGTACCATCGCTCGTTGCCGCGATACTGGTAGCATAGCCCGACGTCAAGGAAATGGACGGAAGTAAACAGCAACATCAACAGAAATGGTTCGAAAAGTAAAGAAGCGACTTGATCGAAACCCGCGTCACAGTGGCCGAAAAATGGCTCGCGAACTGAATATATCGCAATATTCAATTCGGCAAATATTGAAAAATGAGCTCGGCGTAAAGCCATTGCAATTCCAAAAAGTGCAAGAACCTACACCGCAACAGAAAGGAAATAGACACGCTTGGCCGAAAGTGGTGAACCCCCGAATTTGGTATTCTCCGATGAGAAAATATTCGTTGTGCAGCAGTTTGTAAACAAACAAAATGTTCGTGTTTACTTGCCAAAGAGGTCAGCTTAAAATGTGCACCTTCGGGTGTATTAAAGCCTTTGTACCTTGGACATTCCTGCTGGAATGCTCAGCACGCTCCACCCAAAAATGGTTACAAAATGACGTTCCTCGCCTCATTTCCAGCGCACAAAGGCCACCAAAATCTGTTGGACTATTGTGTATGGAGTATTTTGGAAAGCAAGGTTGGCACTAAAAAATACCAACGTGTCGATCACCTCAAACAAGCTCTTCGCCGAGAATGGGCCAAAATACCGCAGAGCAACATAATTCGTGCCAAAGGTGGCCAATTCGAACAAATCTAAACTTATTCTAAAATTTGATGCTATTTCCGACATTTTTTGCTTTCATTCAATAAAATTTAAAAAAAAAAATTAAATATCAATAAAATTTAAAAATTATGAAAAATTAAAAAAATGAATTATGATTTTGTTGCAGTTTTTATACTATCCACCTTGGAAAGGATATTAACTTTGTCATTCCGTTTGTAACATCAATAAATATTCATCGTAGACTCCATAAATTATATATATTCATAATCAGCATAAAATTCTAAGTCGATTTAACGATGTCTGTCTGACTGTCTGTCTGTTGAAATCACGATACAGCCCACATTATCTGATGTAGAGGGTCAAAATTTAGCAGAACAATTTGTATTGTGTCTAGGATGGTTGATATGGAAAATGAGATATATCGGTCCACGTTTTGGTATAGTCCCCACATAACGGTACCTCCCGATATTCGGTATTTTGATGATTTTTGCCTCATTTTTTCAAGGATTTGTCTGAAAATTGGTATTTATAGGTCATAATAAGTCCTAGTTCGTGTATGTATGGGTCCACGCTTTGGTATAGCACCCATATAACGGTACCTCCCGATTTTTGGTATGTTCATGATTTTTGCCACATTTTTTTAACGGATTTGTCTAAAAATTGGTATTTGATGGTCATAATGGATGCGATGGCGAAACATTGTATGTATAGGTTCACGTTTTTGTATATCCCCATGTAGCGGTATCTCCCGATATTCGATATTTTGATGATTTTTGCCACATTTTCCCACGAATGTGTCTAAAAATTTGTATTTGTGTATAAGGTGGAGGGTATTAAAAGTTCGGCCGAACATAATGTTTTTTACTTGTTTTATCTCACTCTGTATATAGGCCCTGTTTAGAAACTAAAACCAAAAGTAAAGTGGTCACAGATATTTGGGTTTTTTAAGTTCTTTTATTAATACTTTACAAAAATATATATATTTTTTTTTTGTCTTAAAAAAACGATATATTTTCACTTACTTTAAATAAAAAAAAAATACAAAAATTGTACATAAATTTGTTTGTATACAAAAAAATATAACAAAAAATATACATACATTAAAAAATAGCCTTAAAATACAAACAAAAAAGACGAAAAAGTAGCAAATGAGTAGCAGAAGTAGCACTTGGTGGCGATTAAAACAGGGAATAAGTACAATAAACGGAAAACAGGATGAAGCCCAAATAGAGATTAGCTTCGACGATGTACTGTTCACTTTTTCAAAGATGCAACAGTAATGCCGGTAATATACAACTCAGTACGGTTTTGGGCTCCACAATGTTAGACGACAATAACGGATAATTAAAAAAAAAACAATTTGAGCCATTATTACATTTTTAGATATGCTATTACAATTTGTGTATTTGAGCGGAGGAGGGAGGGAGGGTTGTATAGATTCAGTTAAGTTTCCTCTGCAGCTGCTCGAATGTATCTTGAATTGGAGCCAAGGCCACAATTACAATTAAAGCTACGACAAAGAGCAGGATGACCACAATATAAACAGCCAACAGACCTTTTCGGAAACCAGCAAACTGTAAAAAAAGCAGATTTGAGAAATTTAAAAAAGATATTTACTAATTATAGGATTTAAAAGTAATAACTTACCGGTGCATCCATTTTCCTTTCATTCTTCATATTGTTGCGCATGCCATGATGATGGTGACCCATATTACCCATTTGGAAATCATTGACTCGCTTTGCCTGCTGTCTATCCGAGGAACAGCCTGAAATCTGTATACACAAGAAAATCTAATATTAATGCCATAGTATCGTCAAGTTCTTCCTGTTGAGACACAAAGGAAGGGGAAATTAGTAGCTAATGATTTTATGTAGATTTGTTTTATTTACGACGTTTCAGTATTTGGATTGGATTTGTATATTTACAAAGGGTAACGGCAACATTATGGAAATGTAGTCGGGGAAGAGAATTTTTTTTACTTAACTTACTCGGAGGTTAGAAATATTTGCTATTTTCCAGAGCCTACAAGAATCTACTATTTTTGCCATTTTTCCGATATCATAAAGGGAAAATCGGTTATCGTAGTAAACGCTTTTACATTCTGTAGACCTGGAACATATCATATTTTAGAGTCATATGTAGAGTGAACCTTTCACATGTTATACTTTGTATTTGACACAATACCTTTAAGGGCTAGCTTTAAACTTTTAGCGCCTAAAAGTATGCTATAAAATGCCAAAGCTAAATGTGGAAAAACGCCTTACATCTGAGTAAAACGATATGTAAGCAAGCCTTTAATTTTCCAAATGTTGTCAATATCCACACGTGTTATAGACGGGGTGACAGGGGTCTGTTTTGTGTCATTTATATTTTTTACAAGTTTTTATTAATTTATTTATTTTGTGGTTTTACCGTGTACATCATGAGTTAGATCTAACGGGGACGGAGGGAAGGTATTTTTGTTTCAAAAACGTGCAAGTTGTTATAACTGGGAAAACATTCCCAAATTATTTCAGTTAATAGTTCTGTTAATATTAGAAAATTATCGTCATGCAGACACTTTTTTAGATTTTTATATACAAGTTTGGAAATAATAATTTTATACATAATTGATTCGTATAATATCAAGAAAAGAGATTATTAAAGCTCTATCAGACGAAATGTTTTTTTTTTTTTTTTTTCATTTGTAATGTCAAACTTTCCATAGGTAGAAATTGCACATATCGTGATACATGGACGATATTTCAGTTGTGAAATACCGGAGTAAAGTACGTACGTACTTTTTCGATCACAGTGAGCCCTATTAGCATCGGAAAAATATAATTTGATCAAAAGTTTGTTGTGCGAAAATGTATAAAAAAATTAATTTTAGTTTGATAACGCCTTTAGATAGCATCACTTGCTCTGTTCGAGAACCTGCAATAATCTACTAGTTTTGTATTTTTTTTTTCGAAATAATAAAGGAAGTATTGTGTATCGTAGTAAAAGTTTAACATATTTGCAGTTCTATGAAAGAGCAACTGTGAAAGTACATAAGCGGCTTGGCATCATGGCTAGGAATATTAATATCAAATTATAAGGGGAAACGACGGCAGGATTCGAGTGCGGCTCTGACACCCCTTTATGATATGTCACAAAATATGCAATTCGAATAATTCAACGACGAGAGCAATCAACTGGGGAAACTATTGATGCCCCAATATTACTTAAATATGAGATAATATGAGATTTGCCTGCTTACAGGCCATTTTTGGCTGAACCATGGTTGAAGAATACAACAGGTAATGTGGCGTTTCCACTGCACTTGATTCGCTCTCTATTCGTTGTTTGACCCTTAACTATGAAAAAACTACTTAATTCTTCACACAAAATTTCCTGAGCGAACACTCATATTTGTACATTGTTCAAATCAAATCACTCTCAGAACAACGAAAAAATATGTTCCATCCCTAACAAATGAGAGCATTTATCAAAAAATAAATTATGACATTTAAAAATTGAAAATAGAAAAATTTAATGAAATTTTGAAAAATTTTGGGAAGACTGAAAATTATGAATGAAAACTACAATGTTGAATAGCGTATTTGCATTCAAACGAAAGTAAATTTTGTTTTCTCTCTCATCCGAGGTACGCATTTTGTCCACGAGTTGAAATTTTCACAGAAAACTGCAAACAAAAGAGGCAATATTTTCAAAATGTTTGTATTGACAGAAAAAATGTTTGACAAGTGTCTCTCCAGCAGAATTTAAAAATAGAAAAATACAAAAATATATTCAAAATGTCAACATGTACACAAAAAGTTGAAAACGTGAATGACAATTATTAAATTATTGATATAATAAATCTTTGGGAGAAAAACAATCATTTATTCTATTCATATTAGTGAGAATTTAATGTAATTTATTAAAATTCCCATTAAAATCAACAAATAAAATTTTTCAAAAAAGGAATTATTTTACTATGAATTGCGAATCGTGCCGTATGAACGGGTTAATTCGTGTACCTAATTCTGAGAGCGAATAAAGTTGTTCGGTTTCCAATGGAAACATGCTATAAGGGACAGGGGATGTCAGAATTATTTTTTTTTTTTTCGATAAATGCTCTCATTTGTTAGGGATGAGACATACTTTATCCTAATTCTGAGAGTAATTTGATTTGAACAATATACAAACAGGAAATTTTGTATGGAGAATTAAGTCGTTTTTCCATAGTTAAGAATCAAACAACGAATAGAGAGTGTTGTTGGGTTGTTATGATATGCATTTTTCAACAATTTTTACAAATTTCAATAGTTTTTCATTTAAAATTTTCATTTCCAAAATTGACAGACAGTTTGATTTGATAGTTCATTGTCCCAGCAGCTGCGTCGATGCGACTACCTGTATTCTTCTACCATGGGCTTCTGCATGGAAACGTCAAAATACGACACTGTTGTCAACTACATGTTGCAACTGTGTTGTATTTTCACACAGAAGTCACGATTAAAGCTTTGATCTCGTTTAGCCTTAAACAAGCGTTTTATTTATTATCACCTTGAGATGTGTCAACATTTCTTTCTCACACCGCCCTCTTGTGCAGATCTTTTTGTGTTTCAAATTTTAGGGTAACCAGACACAACTATTGATTCTCTAAAACTGGGGTGTTTTGCAACCACGTACTCATTAGCGTTTTAAATTTTCAGTAAGATTTCCGATAGTTTTTGAGTTCACTGCTACTCAAATACTCTCGCCGTTAGTGGAATGGCATCATCTTCTTGATCCTGATTAACACTCATTTTTAGAATAATTTGTGCAATACGGATATATTCAACCAGATTTACCATGACCTGACTTTTCTAAATCCGGGGCGGAATCTACATACGAACGGGATGCGTTACTGCATTTTTATGCGGTTTACTCCCAAGTCGCTTATGTTTCCCCAAAGGGCTTTGTTTACATTTTACATTTGAAACATGCTCGAATTTGTTTATGTATACGTAAACAGACATCAGCTGACTGGCATTTGTAAGGTTAACTCACTAGAATGAACTGTCAAACCAATTTTGGAATTAATTAAAAATGTTGAATGAAAAATTATTGAAATTTGTAAAAATTGGTTAGAAATGCATATCGTAAGAACCTTAAATTGGCGTCTTATAAGAAAACACATACAAATCTACTTATTTTTGAAGAAATCTATATTTTGACATTTCAATGTTCCCAGGCCTTAATGCATCTTCTGTATTCTTCTACCATGGGATTTGCTCATATTTTAAATTCGTAAACAAACATCAGCTGAGCCGCATTTATATCCTCATAAGGGTGTATCTAAACGCCTAATGTTAACTCACTAGATCTATTAAAATCAGAGATTTAACTTTCAAGTACGTTTACACGTACTAAAGTGGATTTCAATTGAAAGCAACTCTGAAATCCACTTATTTAGTGGTCTCCTATAGAATTGATGCCTTAACTTTAAATAAATAACTTTCATCTGAATATAACACCAATATTACACCCCTAGAAGATACCACCAAATACTTACGGAAAATATTAAATGCACCACAACATGGAATGCCACATAGGCAACCAAAATCCAATCCATCCATTCAGGCAATTCAGCCTTGGTCAATTTAACCGAGAAGAAGATGGTGACAACTAAAATAAAACAAGTCATTATTTTTCCTATCCATTCGAATAATCTAAAACCATTTAACTTACTGGCTAGCAAATGGGCCAAATTACCACCCAACCAATGGGCCCAATTGAAGAAGGGGCGATTTTTCGAGTTGGGTGCTGGTCTAAACAAAGCACCAATGGGTTGGATGAAACACAAAATTGTTGTAACCAAACCGAGGATGGCATGGGGATTGCGTTCACCGGACCAGCCGCCAATCTCCACGAAAATAATGACAAAAGCAGCCATTGTCAGGGACCAAGTGGTAACCATGCAAATACGATGCCACTGGAATAAAAAAAAACAAACTTTTTAGTTTCAATCTGTTTTATCGCAGTTTTCCTTGACTTACAGCAAACCATTGATCCTTGCCACACATTTGACTGCCCACCCAGGTTTGTTTGAAGTAGCGTGCAAAAATAATACCCAATGAAGTGGTACCAATCCAGGCAGCAATCATGAAGCTGCCATGCAGTCTTAAGAGTAATTTTGAAGCACCACCTAAATCAGCAAGCTCGGCCAAATTAATGGCCTTATCGGAGGGAATGCGACCAATGTCGTGATAGCCCACACCATTTTCTAAAAATCCAAAGGCAAACTCAATTATTACAATTCCTAAATAATAAATTATTTTTTGTATTACCTTTCAAGCCTGTACCAGCAGCTAATAACAAATAATATTTATTGTTTATTAAATCGAAAACTTTGTTGCCCACCTGGGTGAGGGGATCTCTTTCTACTTTACAATAAATGACACCATTTACCACGGAACTTTCCACCAAACGGGCGGTGTTTTGGGGCTGAAATAAATTCAAGAATTTTAATATTTTCAAAACTATTCATTCTAAAATACGTGGTAGAATTAAGAAGGTAAAGTCATGCAATCATTGGTCTGTTCCAGAACTGCAAGATTGTAAAATTTTCCCATTATGATACCGAAAAAAATGCAAAATTAGTAGATTATTGCAGGTTGTGGAACACACAACATATATTTACAATTTTTTTTAAATTATTAATTTGACAACATTGTCAAAATGTTTATTCAAAAATCGATTGTATATACCATGGTAGAATCAAGAAGGTAAAGTCTTGTAATTATATGTTTACAATTTTTTTCAAAATAATTCATTTGACAACATTTCATTGTCAAAAATGATGGGAACCTGTTTTCTTCGCAGTGAGACTTGACAAGATAAATTACAGAAAATGCAGAGATGGATATGTTTATTTGAAATGACTACCTTCCTAATTTCGCTATAATATATATACAAATCGGAGATGGGAACCTGTTTTTATGCAGTGATATTTGACAAGGTAAATTACAGAAAATGCAGAGATGGAAATGCTTATTTGAAATGACTTTACTTTCCTAATTTTACTATAAACCAAATGTAATGTCAAATACTTACCACTCCCTGGCGACTAACACCATAACCCTTGGGTGGAGCCGATGTCAGGGAACTGAACATGGAAACTTTGCCATTTTGTGGCACACATTCCACAACCAAATCATCACCCATTTTATTGTCTTCCGACAAGCCCAGGGCAACATAGGCAGCATCCTCTGTAAAACGAAAAAAAAACGCATTTATTTATGTTTTAGGTTATCAATTTTCGAAAAACTTACTTGCTTGAGATTTCAATTCAAATTCATAGATATTTCCACGAACTTTAATGGCGGCCACAAAATCACAAGTTTTACTGTCCACACAACCATCTTTGTTGCCAAAACAATTCTTGCTGGTGCCACAGCCATCATAGAAAGGATCATCGGGTGTGGCAGCCGGTGCTGGTGGCACATATTCCGGTACATAGGGTGGCCGAGTGGTCGGTGAATAACTTGGTCTGGGTGTTGTGGGTCCAACGGGAGCAATATCACGTTTCACCACACGTACCGGAGCCGATGGAATGCCCAACCAGAAGGTGTCGTAACTTTGAGCCACTGTGGAACTGGAAAGAGAAATAAAATGCATTTTAGAATTTAATATAGAATATAAAACATTTTTTTTAGATAGAGAATCATTTAAGTATGCTTTCATTTCCACTCCAATGGTGGCCTATGAATAAAGGTGGTCTTTGAAAGAAAGAAGTTGAGGTGAGAATACATAAAATACGTTTTTGACTGGCTTAAGTCATCGGTTTGCTTCTTCGGAAAAGAACTAAGGAGCGTAAGGTCAAAATCGAACTAAGTGATCTTCTAGACACTTAAGGTGAGAATACATAAAACGCTTTTTTGTCTGGCTTAATTCATCGGCTGGCTTCTTCGTAGAGAAACAAAGGAGTTAAGGGTTGGCTTAGTTCGATTTTGCTTCTTTGTTCTTTTCCGAAAAACCCAGTCGATGAACTATGAAAAATTATGAAAAAAAACGTTTTATGTATTCTCACCTTTAGAAGCTTAATGTGAAAGTACGATGAGCTTTTTTAGTGGTTTGAGTAATCGACTGAAACAAAGGAGTTTTAGGTTGGCTTAGTTCGATTTTGGCCAATAATTTATACTTGCTCATCCTTGTTCTATTTCAAAAAGCCAGTCGATGAATTAAGTCGCCGAATGGCTTCTTCGGAAAAGAACAAAGTAGCGTAGAGTCAAAATAGAACTAAGTCAACCTAAAACTCCTTACAGAAGCCAGCTGATGAGGCTTCTTCGTAGAGGAGGAAGTCAGTCAAAAAGCGTTTTATGTATTCTCACCTTTAAGCCAGTCAAAAGGGAGTTTTATGTATTCCCACCTTTACACCTACGTCTTCTAAAAGAAGCCACTCAAGTGAACTTTTATAGATGAAAGAACACTTAAGTTAGGAATCACTGAACTGGTCTACTATAGACAGAGAGTCACACGAATATTATTTTCCATTCAATTAATAAAAGACTACTGGAATAGTCTAAGCATGGTAGAATAAAAAAGGTAGTCTCATTCAATCGCATGATTTAAAGTTTTTAATTTGATGTCTCTTTATTGTCATTGTTGAAAAATACAGGTATATGCATCAACCCTTGGGAACATTGATATTTCAACAATTTTAAAATATTTTAATAATTTATAATTCAAAATTTTCCATTCCGAAATGGGTTTGACAGTCCATTGTCCCAGCAGCTGTGTCGATGAGACTACCTGTATTCTTCTACCATGTGTATTGTCAAAAATATATTTCGTAGTTCTTCCTTAGATATAGGCCTACAGCTGGCAATGAATTTACCTTTACTGCAATCTATGGCATACTAGGAACTCTGTTCACCGCAACGGTTCATCAAGACGAGCTGTCAGAACACATATTCTGATTGGAATCACAGTACGTAAGGTAAACAAACAGTAAGCCTTAACGTTTTGCTTTTGACGAAAGACATATTTTTCGCCGCCTTATTTTTTCATTTTTAGGTAAGTTTAACAACGTGCACACATAACAAATCGAATGGATTTAAGCTGTCAGTTCCATTGCGTATGCGTCAAATTAAATCCACTGAAAATGAGACAGATTTCATTTGACATATACACAATGGAAATGACAGTGGAAATCCACCAGATTTGTCAAGTGTGAACGCAGTTAAACCTTCGAAAAATAATAAAATATATAGTCAGCAAATGAATATGTCACTCGTCATACGCAAAATATTTAGATATGCCATTATGTTTTTTATGAAAAATGACAGGGTAGAGTGTGATAAAAAGGGTTGCCATATTTTATTTTAAAAATTAGACTACTTTCATTCTTGTGCTATGAGTCTCAAACGCCGAACATATATCATAAATCCATTGGATTTCAATTGTCACTTCCATTGCGTATGCCTCAAATGAAATCCCCTGAATTTGAGAAAAAAATACATTTAAAGTATACACATCGAAATAGACAATTTAAATCCAACCGATTTGTTATGAGTGTAAATCGTTAAACTTCCGTAAAAAACAACAAAAAATGGTTATTCGACACAAAAAATATGCCATTTGTCATACGCAAATATTTTAGATATGACATTGCATTTTTCATGTTCGTTCGATGCAAAAGGGTTGCCATCTTTTATTTTGCAAATGACACTACTTTTATTCCAGTAGATTTCAACTGTTAATCAAATGGTAGAAGAAAGCAGGAAGTCACATCGACATAGCTGCTGGGACAATGAACTGTCAAACCAATTTTGGAATTGAAAATTTTGAATGAAAAAATATTGCAATTTATACAAATTTTTTAAAAATGCATGTCATAGCAACCTCCGATTAAAGTCGTACAAGAAAACATACACAAAATGTTCTTATTTTTGAAAAAAATAAAACATTTTAAAATGCTTGACATATATTCTTCTACCATGTGTTAATCTCATGTACACATCAAATGAACTACACTGGGTTTAAGGATCAACTTCATTTGACGTATACGCAATGGAAGTGACAGTTGAAATCCCCACGATTTAGTAATTATAAACGTAATAGTAAATCCAGGAATTTCACTCATTTTTCGCGCCATTTAAAAATGATAAAATATTTCAAATAAATAAAAAACCATAAATGAAACTGGCAGCAAGTGCGCATAGCCTCAGGGCTGTGTTTCTGTAGTTTTACGAAGCTGTTCTACCACCTTATTGTACCATGGTTATACCCATCCATATACCGGTACTTACTTGAAAATAATTTCACCCTCAAAATCGACAGGAGATTGCCATTCCAAGCTAATCTCAGGTTTTGGCGATGTATTTGTGTGTGTGACCGAATTACCCACGGAATTATCACAGTTCATGAGTTTCGATAAACCATCTTCGGGAAGATTGAATTGGCCAATCTAAAAAACAAACAAAACAAATCCAATATCATTGAAAAAAGAAATGTCAAAGAAGCGGGATCCTACCACTTACCACTTGATTTGGTGGACTGGTGCTGCGTGCCTGTATCATAAAACCGCCAAATGTCAAACCGCTTGGCACACCAACAATATCGACACGCAGTGTCTGTCCCTGACCAATGGTTCCCGCCGACGTTTCTATCCGAAATGGTGGTTTCGTTGTGGCCGGTGCTATGCCACCCGCATGAAAGGGCAACATTGTGTCACATACCGTTTCCGGTGCACCCTGTGGCAATGTGGAAATATGTGGCATCCATGTGGTTAAATGCAATATGAAAATATAGGCAGCGGCAGTTGTTATTCTGAACATTTTATTATTTTTATTACTTTTGTGATGGCGAGTCATGGTAAACTGTGGTAGAAGGGGACGTTTTTTACGATTGTGTCATGGATTTTTGTGGCGAGTATTTCGAAGAAATGTTTGTAAACTGGAAATAGAAAGAAATATATAATTTGTATTAAAAAGAATGTAAAGAGACAGTGAAAAATAAGTGGTGTGCAGAAATTAAAAATTCTATAAATCAAGAAACAAAAAGTAGGCAGGAAATTTTGTTGCAACGAATTTCCCTTAATTCGTGAAGGCAATTTTTAGAGGGAAAACTCTATAGCAAATGTCAATGGGAACATGGTATTAGATTTCATGTTTATCATGGTAGAAGAATACAGGTAGTCGCGTCGATACATCTGCTGGGACAATGAACTGTCAAACCAATTTCGGAATTGAAATTTTTGAATAAAAAAATTATTCAAATTTGGAAACATTTTTAAAAAATTCATATCATCACAGCCTCCGAATGGCGTCGAATAGGAAACCATATAAAAATCTACTTATTTTTGAATTCAAAAATTTCCATTTCACATTTTTGTAGAACTGAAATTGAGCTCCAGACCTCCCGTAAATAAATGATATTTATGAACTGAATGCAGCACACGTAATCAAAAATTATCAAAAACAAGTAAAAACGTATCAGTTCATTTTTCCAGATGTGTGACAGATGTTTACCCTCAGTTGTGTTATTATTATTGAAAATGTTGACCCTTTACGAGAGTGTTTCAAAGGAATGGGTAAATCCGTTTCGAGTAGGACCTAAATAAATATGATATAAAATTTGTGGGTGTGGGTTCACATATATATTTTTTGTTTTTCAAAATCTTGAACTCTATGGGGATTGGGTACATATGGGAAGGGTTCGCAGATATATATCATGTTTACAACAGACCTCGTGCTAGCAAAAATATTTGTTTGTGTGAAATTTGCAGAGAGTTGGATGTTTTTTTTTCGCTTTTTAATCGTTTTGTTTTTCAAAATCTTGAACACTATTTGGGAGAGGTACAGAAGAAATGGTCCGATCTTTATCATCTTTATAAGAGATCTTATATTGATAGAAATATTGAGATGTACCAAGTCTGAATGGAATCGAATTTTAATTTCACATTTTATGAGCTTCATATATATTTAAAATGTTGATCCTCTGTGGGGGAGGTACCAGAAGGAGTTGACTGATATATCCCATCTTCACAGCAGATTTTGGGTTAATAGAAATAATGGGATGTGTGAAATATGAAGAGAATCAGATGCTTATTTCGGATTTTATATTCGTTTTGGTTATTCAAAACTTTGAACCCTTTGTGGGGGAGTTAACAGAAGGAATGGTCCGATCTTTACCACCTTTATAACAGACCTTGTGTTAATAGAAATATTGAGATGCGCCAAGTCTGAATGGAATCGGATGTTAATTTCGCTTTTTTTTGAGCCTCATGGATATTTAACATGTTAACCATTTGTGGGGGAGGTACTTGATGAAATGGGCCGATATATTCCATCATCACACCAGACCTCGAGCTAATGAAAATATTGTGGTGGTGTGTAATTTGAAGACAATCGGACTAGTACATCACATTTTACAAGAGTTATAATTATTCAAAAATTTGACCTTTTGTATGGGAGGTACTTGATGAAATGGGCCGATATTGTTCATTTTCACACCTGACCTAGCACTGATGCAAATCTCTTCTCTTTCTGTGCAGGAAAACAATTTTTTTTTTTTTTTTGAGAAAAATTCGACCTTTTGTGGGGGAGGTATTAGCAGCAGCGGACCGATATTTCCCATCTCCGAACTCGATCTAAGTTAGAAAATAATATTACGATATACCAAGTTTTGACCAAATCGGATACTCCCTTTGAGAGTTACGATGTGCACCAGGCAGGCAGGCAGACAGATGGGTGGACGGACGGACATGGCTAGATCGACTCCAAATGTCCTAAGACGGGTTTGGTCCAAAGATTCCTGGGGTCTGAAACCATTATTTCGATGAGGTTTGACCGTATCAAATGATATATAACCTCTCTAGCCATATGGCTGAGGGTATAATAATGCCATAATTTTATATCCGCTTTTGGAATTAATTGAAGTATATTTTTTTCAAATTTTGCTACAACAAATTGGCACTTAAACCAAAAACTGATCGATTGTTTTGTTAGACAAAAATTGCTGTGAACGCTCCAACACTTCACTTCCTTTCGTCATATATGCCACAATGCTGATGACCTTTTTTAAGGTTGGTGGGCTAAATTGGCCAACACCTGCACAAATAATTCCATTATTTATTGCATTATTTGGTTAATGCTATTTTATCGAATAATTATTTCTGTTGTAAACAATAATCATTAAGATACTCAATTCGGACCATTTTAGAAAGGTTAAAGCCCTGAAAAGTGAGAGTAACAAAAAAAAAAAAAAAACAGCCAGGCCGGAATCCATATATCATAATATGAAAAAAAAGTATAAGCTTTGATCTTAACCTTGATCTGAGTTTTAGAGCATTTGTTGTTGTTGTTGTTGTTTTTCAAACTCATATAATTATATTTATGCTTTGTTTTTGTTTCCATTTATAATTTATGCAGTTCTCTCCCCTCATATGGATTGAAATCGTAAATCGTACAGCATGTTTCCCCCATATGACTGGCGATCTGATCCGCATTTGAGATACAATGCAGTGACTGACAAGACATGATTCATTTGTATAAAACTGGTTTGGGTTTGCTGGAAAGTCCAGTGGTCTGAATTCTTTTTTGTTGTATTGAATTCTTATGAAGAAACAAAGCGATCACCAGCCATGACCATAACCGAGTAAACGAGAAAGAAACAGGAACTAATGACGCATTGATTTTTGCCAAAGTCTTCCTTTTACATTTCATGCTTAACAAGTGAGTCAAAGCAGCTCTGGGGTTTTCCCCCAACATATTTGCTCTTTCACTCGCTCAAAATTTCTTATGCTGGGTTTTTCCTCTACTCAGCTTTAGATGAAACGTCTTTAACTCACCATCTTATGTATGTATGTTTATTGGTGTCTACGTCATCACTTTGCAAGATATGACATGATAAAGTGTCATTTCCCACTCCATTTGCTGCTGTTGATTACAATGGGTTTCTTCTTCTTCTTCTTCGTTTGCTTCGAATTTTACCGAAAAGTGAAATGAACACATTATCATCGCTTCGTTTCATTTAATCATTTAAAGAGCTAAATGATGTAAAACAATGTGTTTTCATGTAGATTTGTGATCGATGATTTGAGACGGCAACAACAAGAAAAACAAAACACTTTACAAATATCAGCAGAGTCGTTTAAATTGTATTGCTTTTTATGGCTTAATTTATTGTTTCACGTGTCAGTGATGCCAGGCGTGAGTGAGTCATTTTATTGATATGCCAAAAAAAGAAGATTGAGAGAACTATGTAGATGACAGCCTGGTCTTCTACAGGAATATGGTGTAAACATGGTAGAAGAATACAGGTGGATGCATCAACGCTTGGGAACATTTATATGTTAAATGTTATTTCAAACATAAATAGATTTTTATATGCTTTCTTATACGACGTCATTCGGAGGTCTTTATAATTCGCGATTTTCAACAATTTTTACAAATTTAAATAACTTTTTATTCAACATTTTCAATTTCAAAATTGGTTTGACAGTTCATTGTCCCAGCAGCTGTGTCGATGCGTCTACCTATATTGTTCTACCATGGGTGTAACCTTAAAAAGCACAGGGATTCAGAATTGGATTTTCATGGTCTAAACCGACATTTTGGATTCACCGATAGGTCTGAATATAGATCTACAGGGTGAGATGAAAAAACTGCAACCAACTTCAGACTGCTGTCATTTCTAAGCCATCCGTCCGACAGCTGTTAAAATTATTCCAGTGACAGCTCAATATATTGTTTACTAGCGTACAAAAGCACTTTGGTGAGAATTTTCTAGAAAAAAAGTTATTCGTGATGGAATTCAAGCGTGATAGTTTGATTTCCTTTTATTTGGCTGGAAAATCGCAATTGGCTATCTTTAGAGCACTCCAGCATTTAAATGTAAATAAATCTTTTATGTCTCGTATCATCGCTCGTTGCCGTGTTTCTGGTAGTGTAGCTCGACGTCAAGGAAGCGGACGGAAGAAAACCGCAACATCAGCAGAAATGATTCGAAAAATAAAGAAGCGGCTTGATCTAAAGAAGCGGCTTGACCGAAAAAATGGCTCGAGAGCTGAACATATCGCAATATTCCATTCGGCAACTAATGAAAAATGAGCTCGGGGTGGTAAAGCCATTGAAATTCCAGAAAGTGCAAGAACTTACAGCGCCACTGAAAGAAATAGACTCAAAAGAGCTAAAGAGTTCCTTCGCTTGGCTGAATTTGGTTTTCTCCGATGAGAAAACATTCGTTGTTCAGCAGTTTGTAAACAAACCAAATGATCGTGTTTACTTGCCAAAGAGGTCAGCTGAAAATGTGCACCTTCGGTTGGCCACCAGAACTCAAGCGCCGGCCATGGTGATGGTGTGGGACGCTATAACAACCGATGGTCGTATTAATCGACCGGGGCATCAGAATAAATGCCGAATATTATCGCGAAAATATTCTTGAGGGTGTATTAAAGCCTTGGGCAAGAAAACATTTTGGCCACAGACCTTGGACATTCCAACAGGACTCAGCACCATCGCAGTCAGCACGCGCCACCCAAGAATGGTTACAAAATGAGGTTCCTCGTTTCGTTTCCAGCGTTGGACTATTGTGTCTAGAGTATCTTGGAAAGCACGGTTGGCACTAAAAAATACCAAAATGTCGATCACCTCAAGCAACGCTTCGCTGGAAATGGGCCAAAATAACGCAGATCAACATTCGGGCAGCGTGTGACGTTTTCATTGGCGGTTTGAAGGCCATCATTTGTGCCAAAGGTGACCAAATCTAAACTTATTTTAAAATTTTATGGTATTTCCGACATTTTTGCTTTCATTCAATAAATTAAAAAAAAATGTAAAAATTATGACATTTGACTTTGTTGCCGTTTTTTTTTATTTCACCCTGTATATGAAGGTCCTTCTTAACATTTTCTAAGATTTCCACACGACTTCTCTTGCTGAAGAAAAATACTT